GGCAGCCCCTCCTGCGGTAAGTAGGACCCCAGCAAAAGGGGTGTCACCCCCCCAACTCCCGGCTGACCCTGGGCTCCCCTCTGCCTGCAGGAGGCAGCTCCTGGTGCTCCCAGCTCTCCTGCGAGTGCGACCGCAGCCTGGTGCTCTGCCTGAAGCGAAACGTCGGGAGCTACAGCAAACGTTACCGCTTCTACCCCAAGTACTGGTGCCGGTGATGGGAGCCGGGGTGCGGGGCCGGAGCACGCACGTGGGTTCTGCATCCGGACCGCCCTACAGCCCTGCCTGCACGGACCTCGTTAGCGCTGCTGTAAATTTAACCAGTGTGAAAATAAACCATGTGCTTAAACCACCCCGGTCCTCTGTGAGCTGCTGCTGGGCAGAGAAATCCCCGTAAAAACTCAACATCATCCTCCCCAAAGGTCGCAAAAACTCAGTCTCGGCCCGTGCGTCACTGCGGGCTGGAGCCCACGGGGAGAGGGGGGGGTTTGGCCACGAGGGAAGGGGCGTAGCATAAAGTGTTTTTGGGACAGACGAGTCATTTCAGCGCTTCCTATTTAGAGCCCGCGGGCTGGACACGGAGGGCAGCCTCTCCCCGGGAGAAGGGGCTGGCAGCGAGGAAGCGGAGCCGGAGCGATCCCCCGGTGAGCGACTCCCACCCTCGCCCCGCTGCTGCGATGGGGCGGTTGTGTTGCTGCTGCAGGACCAAAAATCCAGGGAGGGGATGTTGGGAAGAGGCAGGGGGTGTGCTGCTTTCTGCTGGTTTCCACAATGGCAGATAAAGTGTCATTCTTTTACTTAAAAACTCAGCTGGGCGGTCGCAGCCGCAGGGGCACAGCTGCGCTGCTGCTGCAAAGCGACGCCCGGGGTGCCAAAAGCGGTGGGACGGGCGGCGGGAGACGCTGGGGTGGTGGGACAGCTTCACAAAGAGTTTGCAGCAACACAGAGGCAAGGGGGCCCGGCTGCCTTCCTCCCTCCAAATTTTGGGGCGATTTGACCTGATGTCAGAGGGACAAGATTTCCACGCCACCTGCCTGAGTCTGCCCTCTGTTTCTCCTCCCAGGCCTGGGTGAGAGGAAGATGAGGGTCCTGCTGATGCTGGCGGTGCTCTTCGCCTGCAGTAAGTGCAGCTGTTCCCCGACCCACGGATGGGAGCCAGGCCGCAGACCCGTGCTGATGCCGAGAGCATCCCCAAACCCCCGTGCCCTCCACGGGGAGACTCCCAGCAAAGCCTTCCTCTTCCCCCTGGTGCCCCGGGCCTCGTTTCTGCATATCGCTTGCAAACCCCACATTTTCTGGTCACTCTAGGTGTGCCCGCAGCTCGTGGGAAGCTCCCACGCACGTTTGCACCAGGACTCGAGGGAAGCACCGTGGGAAATCTGACGGCCTACGGCTGCTACTCGGGATGGGGCACATCGAGGGCTTCAGTGGACCGGTACAGGCAACGCTGCCAGGGAGGGCTAATGCTGGACCTGGGATGGCTAATGCTGGCCCCAGGGTAACCCCGGGGCTTGTGGGCAACCCCAGCAGCACCCTCTGAAGCTTTGGGGCGATGGGCAGCAGCAGAAATGGAACAGGTTTTAGGGAAGGGGGGAAAGTGAGGCAGTGCCCACCCCGAACTCCAGCCCTGTAGTCAGTAGGGTCGTGCCAGCAACAACTGCCTGAAGTCAACGGGATGGCACCAGAGGAGAGGGGCGATCCCGATGCCAGGATGCACAAGGGCTCTGGGACCTGGGCAGGGGCTGTGCGGGGAAGCAGAGAAGAGGCTTGGCATGGGAAGGGGCTGGGAAGAACAGCTCCCGGGTGATTTAGAGCAGGAGGAGGATGCAGCCGTGGGTGGCTCTT